GGTTCAATTCTGTCTTCCATTTTCTTTCATAGAGAGCAGGTAAGGCCATGCAGGCCCTGAATAGGATGGCTTTACGTTCCAAAAGTGAAAGCTCTGGATCTCCTACAAACACTGGAGAAAGTAAGACACTCAGATTCTTTAGTCTTCCAATTTTCAGAACCGTTTTAGTTTCCTGGTCTAAGTTGGCTATATATATATATATATAAGGGGTCCTGGGATTTCTCCCCTCTTTAATCAGCTTCTTCCTTTCTTCTCCTCTTGGTCCTAGACTCACCCCTAAGCCCAGAGGCAAAGCATGCCCTGCAGTCTCTGGAGTGCAAGATGCAGGAGCCTCCCCAGTTTACTCAGAGCCTGGAGGACCAGACTGTACACCAGGGATCCAGTGCCCGTCTCGCTTGTCATCTCACAGGTATACTTCATATTCTGGGACCTTCTTTCAAGAGCTCAAGCAGTACCCGTTTCTCTGTAATATTTTGGTATGTTTTGCTGCATGGCAGTGACTTGAGACTTTGTTTTTACTTTCAAATACCAGGTATTCAAGTCTGACGTTTTTATCTAATAAAAACTAAACAAACTGCCACACCTTGCACATTTCATTATTATATTCTATTATCAGGCTTATTATTTTGAAACAGCTTTGAAAAGATACTGTCTCTGCCTCTTTACTCCTGTCATCATCTGTTTTGGCAGGATACCCTGACCCAGAGGTGGTGTGGCTGTGTGGAGAAGAACCTGTTGTAGAGTCATCCACAGTGCAGATAGAGTATGAGGAAGATGGCCGCTGTACCCTCGTCCTCACCAAAGTTGGTCCTAAGGACACCAATGTTTACACTTGCAGAGCCACCAATGACCATGGGGAGACATCCTGCTCTGCCAAACTCACTGTTCAACAGTAGACTGAATGCATGATAGAGATGGAGAGAATACTGTATATTAATGCCCTTGAGTGCCTTGAACTCTTCAGTTGTACAGTGCATTTTTGTTTTAATACAACCTGTGTATCCTGTATTGTGGGGGGAGAGTATAATACAAGTTAAGAACAGATGATTTTTGTTAAAGCTACAAGCAGACAATATACTGTATAAGGGGTTTTTTTTTATTCGTGGGACTAACAATGTTATACCATGTCTTAATAATAACATAATTTTTAAGATTCCCTTTAATATGAATAAATTGATATCCTTTTTTTAAATGCAACATGCCTGAAGTTATGCTGTTTGAATCATGTAGTGAATGAATTTTTGAGTAAAACAAACCAAAATGTCTGACTTGAAAAAGCCATTAACACCTGACATGTTCAAAAACTACTGAAAGTTAACAGCAAGTAAGCAATTAAAGACTAACTTTTTTGTAACATAAAAGTGTTTAGACCACAACATTCAATTCCTAAATGTATAACAATGTACAAAAATTGAGGGGTGTCAAACTTTAAGATCACTTAGGAAACTGGTACCTTAAACAAATAGACTATCATACTGTATTTTTTTAACAATAGTGACAATAAAAACATGAACAACTTTTTGATTAACTTTTATTGGAGTATGAAAAACAAATACATTTAAGTTGTTACAGTGACTAGTGTCAAATGATAAGATGGCAATAGTCTGTTTTTTCTTAATCACCAAATCCCAAGATAAGCCATTGAGTCAAACTTGCATACACCATCTTACTGCCATAAACACTCCTCAAATTTCAAATCAGCATCTGAAAATACTTAGCAACAAAAACACTACTGACTTCTTTTTGTAACATTTGCTAAAAGCTACAGTGCCTAGCTGTAAGCAAGAATAAAGATAGCTTATCCATAAACTAGTGAAAACCTGTGACAAGTAAACAATATAAGCTTGAGGACAAACAAGTAAAAAAAAAAGAAAGAAAGTGCAAACAAGAAAAAAGGAGTGTGCATTAGGAAAATACAAATAAAAAATGGCTGGTTGTTTGCCATACAGTGACCCGTAGCACTGCACAGAGGGAAGGAGTTCACACAGTCTGGGTCCAGGGTTTGTTCTTGATTTATAAATAACACCATTGCTGATAAAGTTATGTTGCCAGTAGATATAAAACATATGTCTATACGTTCTAAAGTTACGTTGTGATTAACTTTTGGACATGATAATGTTATGGCTTTGAATTTGGTTTGATAAATACCTGTTAGCTATAACGTTAACTATGACAGCAGCTAGCAATATCACAGCACAAATCGTACGTAAATTACGTGTTTCACAATGACAACTCCAACTTTAATGACCCACTCAAAGTTTTATGATGTTTTGAATAAGTTTCTTAACTTTTAAAAAGTCATTTTAAAAGTTGTGCAAAACTAGTGATGGGCAAATGATACCGAGGGTTCGGAGCTTGTGTCACTCGTCCTGAAGCGGAGTGACTCGAAACGCTGTGTCGGAGCTTGTATAAAAACACCAGTGTCACGTGACCGATGACGTTCGAAGCTTCGAACGTCGTTGCTGTTTCGCTTCGCGCTTCATTCCTTCAAAATGTTTCGAAGCTTTTCATTGGCTCATAGTCTTTCAGTGTGTGCCAACACTCATGGCGTTTCAATGCATTCTGAGCCATTGACAGGTTTTACAGATTTGTGTGGTTTGGTGCCATACCAGCTATATAAGATGCATCATTATGCTTCAAAATGGGGTTGTGAGGAGATAGAGATTTGGAGAGTGAGAGTGAGAGTATTTTGGCAAGGTTCATGGCGAGTACCACCAATAAGCGACGTTCTAAAGTTTGGGATCATTTTGATCTTATACCACCCAATAAGGTATAATGCAGTTTATGGCATACATTTTATGTTTGTCTGCTTCTGTGAATAATCATTC